ATTGTTAGTGGGCAAATAGTTTTTAGTCAATTGAAGTTGAATAGAGACATCCTATTATTGTGTTATAATACAAATCTAAAATATTGCCAGTTATCTAGTAGACTTCAGACACTTATAGCTAGTAATACCTGTATTGCCCACATTACATTATAAATACACAACAAAATGAGATTTCTGTTAATTTACTTGTAATTGCTGATCCTTTCTGTCCCATTGTTAGTTCACCATGCAAATAAATAGCTGCTTTTTACAATTGATACCAGATGGCAATGAATGATCAATATGTATATTATTTATGATCCAAGGTATGACATCTCTGGTTGTGATAAATGATTGCTTGTTTCAGTACATGTTACCCTTACATTTGGATTGTTTATTTGGTAAACTTTTGTATATTTCTTGTATATTTTCTTTCCATGGCTAAACATTGATCAAGAACTACTTTGAATTGACTTACTTGAGTTAATTGAAGCACTGTGTAATCTAGTCCTGATTGCAAGTAGCAGATAAGCACTGTGATGAATTTAGTGTTACATACCACATTCCCTGTATTGCAATCGTTGTGGTTCAAGAGTGTACTTTATTTACGTTACACTGTGTACATAATTTCATTAATGCAACACAATTATATATTTATGACCATTTGTCTTCAAGAAGAGAATGCAGAAAAAATATATCTGAACAGAGCAAATCGTTCAGTGCCTGGTTATTATTAAGAAATTTCTCAGAATTGCAGAAATCCTTTTTAAAGTTATGTTATGAATGTTACAAACTAAGCCACAAAATCCAGGATGATTTGCCCCAGAATGTGTTTCTACTTCTCTTCTACCAATATAAAACTATTTGAAAAGGGACTAGAATTGTATTATTCATGAAACCAGTATGGTTAAGCCAAGTTGCAGCAGTTATATATCGAGAAATAAAAATGTTGCAAAAAGAAAATGAAGTATAGTGTAGCCAATCACAAAAAGGGACAGATTTTTTTTTTTTACAGCTAAACAAGTTTTGAAAAAAAGGAGAAATTCAACATGTCCAATATCTTCCAAAAAGTCACCTTTTATAAAGCAAAGCATCAGCCTCTAGCAATGAATTTCATCAATGCCTTTGAGTCCACAAAGTTCCTAGAGCAATTGCAGGGAGGATTCTGGGAGGCCGATGACATTCTTGTAAATTAGTGTTTTGTCATGTGCTATGCCCACTACTTTATGAATAGGAACCTTTTTTTATATTCTTTACTTGCTCTTCAAAAATGTCTCTTGCCAATGATACTGTCTCTGCAGGATGGATAGGAACCAGGCTTCCCGACTCTTAAAAAAAAAAAGAAGATGAAGAAAGACACATCTTTTGAACTTAGCAGACAGGTTGTGCATGCAAGAAGTTAAATCTCAATCCAAGAAAGATTGAAAAAGATTCCTCCCTCAAATCCAGGAGAGCTATTTCCCATCAGTGTAAACAAAACTGAAATTAGAACAATGATTTGATCAGTTATAAAGCAGCTTTCAAATGGACATGTGAAAGTAAAATTACTAGATAACAATCAGCCATGATATAAATTGGTATTGGGAATGGATCCTGGCTCTGAAAAAATATAAAATGCTGCTCTTGGAAAATAAAAACTGGAACTTGATTTTTTTTTTTTATTCGTAGCACCTCTGTATGCACTTTAAGTTGACCCTTTGGGCTAATGTTAATACAAAAATTTTGATGGACTTCACACTGCCACAAAGTGCCCCACTTGTGTAATACAAAACAAATAAAAAAATAGCAAATTTCAACAATGGTGAGATACAGTTGTTTACTTTCATATTGCTTGGAACTCTAGACACAAAGTCAACAGGCTTGAAACCAGGAACATTGTTCTGTGATATTTAACGTATTTCTCAATATATAGAAATCAAAATGAGCTTGCAGTTGTGCACATTTTACTAATCATGTCAAGCAGAAGAATAGAATATATATTAAGGATGCCTTGACTCTGGAACTCAGAATAGAAATATGGTTTCTAAATACACAGTTGCTTATTTACAGTTGAGGAATAAGAAAAAAGGTTTCTAGCAAATCACTTCTCTACAATGAAAACCTTTCAGTGCTCTCACTGAATAGCCAACTCCTGTGTGTTCCTGAACCTTTAAAGATATCTGTGATGTGTGTTAAAGAACATGAGATTATGAAATGTTGAAAGTTAACTCCATCACTTTCGGTCTTGTCAATGGGAGAATGGTATGTCTGTGGATGTAGCCTAGTTTAAGCAAGATCCAGAAGATGTAACACATACAAATGGAATTTGACATGAAGTGGGCATGGCATACAATCTGGCTGGCATAGAATTCAAACAATAGCTACTCACTGGAAACAAATGACAGGAATAGCTAGCTGCCAACCTTAAGAAGCCCCATCCAAGCTGCCAAATCCAGGTTAGCAGTTCTGATCATTGAGCAGTCTTCTGAAAGAAAGATAAATCACCTCCATTTAATCATAGTTCTAGTCTGACAGTTACAATGGGAAGCATCCTCATCTCCAGCTTTTATACTGTGTATGCATGCGTGCAGATAAAAAAGATGGAAATGTGTAAATACTATAAAGATAGAAATGCCTTTCAAGTTCCTCTTGCCAAGATCAGAGGTGTTGTCAACCTTGTGCAGTCCTTTCCTCCACTAGATGCACTATCTATTTTTTTATTGAAGTATACTGCTAAAACATGTCTTATTTTTTTAAAATAATCTATTGTGATTCTCAATAGAAATATTCACAAAGGAATCAAGATGTCAAATATATAATAACAGGCTTATTAGAGTCTGTCAAATACCAGAATCTTTCATTAGTCAGAAGCAAACTTTTCGGAGCTGCATCTAAAAAATTGTAACTTTCAGACAAAACCCTTCTCTAATTCATTGCTTCTGTGTTAATGAGAATTAACTACATTTGTAAAATGGCTATAAAACATCTAAAACCCAGGACAATACAACCAAAGAATTTAAACACTTTCAGTTTGGGTGAATTTCACATTCAACCCTCCCAATTTAAATTCTTTGGTGAAATATACCCACAGTAATTTACAGCATTCAAACAGTAGCACAAATAATAGCAGCAACAACAATAATGTAACAGTAATAAACCGATAGATTTATGCATCCATACTTTTAGAATATTTCTAAAAGTATGGATGCATAACTAAATATTATGATTTTGAGGCTGTTCCTCAACCTTGTATGTAATCCTAACCCAATACACATTCTGCTGTTGCCAGGGTTTCAAGCACAACTTCTAAAGACCTGACAGAAGAATTTTCCACTTTGGATTCCCTGTGTTTTTATCATCATGATGATCATAACAGGAAAAATAATACTATCAAACCCTGGAATCTGGATTTGAATTTGGATTGTATGTGACAAGTAAGAATACCCCCACCCCCAAATCTTCTCACATACATAAAAACCATAGTAGTGCTTCCAGTTATGATGTGGATTTCCTGGTATGCAAGGAAAGCTAAGGAGAGACTGTGGTTTTTCATCATCTGAGCATGGGAAGTTGGACTGGATGGAGTGGGGTGGGGTGGAGAGAGAAATTGCCAGAAGCAGAGTTTTTAAAGCTTTAAATCCCCAGGGGCTGTTGGTTTTCTTACAAATTTTGCATGAAATCCACCAATGAGCATAGATTCTGTGCCTTTAAAAATACAGGCACTGGCATGTACAGGCACAAGGTTTTCTTGCAGGGAGTAAGGAAAATGCCTTTGATGGAGATATGAAGGAGCTGTTGCTTAGGCCAAAGGGATAGACAAATTTTTATATCCATAACAATATATTGTTTGGAAGTGGCTCAACCAGATACTCCCTAATTCACTAAACTATAAGAAAGGGGAGAAGATACAGTTGAATCAAACGTTCAGCATTCTGTTATTACAACCAATCTTAATAAAAGTAGTTTTAGATACTTGTGGAGTTGATTTCATGGTCTGGTCTACCTAAAAGGGCTGGTGTTTCTTTAGTCTGTAAATTATCCATGTCCTCCTGAGACAGTCAATGAATTCAGGACTAATTCTCACATGAATGCATGGTAGTTTCTTAACATTCAGTGACTCATAGGCATACAGGAAAGGTTTCTGAAGTGGGCTGTAGCAAAACAAGCATGTTTTTTCCCCAATTCTATTGGATGTGTGGCAGTTTTAGCTACATGTAGGAGTCAACAGGTCCATTTATTTTATGCATAAACCTTAGACCTAGAAGTGTATTTTGTTCAACTAGTTACCTTGACTTTTAACAATAAAAAAGAATAAAGAATAACAATAAAAAAGAATAAATAAAAATAAAAGCAATTGGCCCTGTAAAAAAAATAGACAAAAATGGGATTTTAATGGGACCCAACTAGTCTGCATTTCATAGTAAAACATGCCAATGGATATTAAAGTTATAGGAAATTACAGGCAACAATTGAAAGACCAGTTATATACTGAGGAAGAGAAAATGTGGGGCTCTAAATACCAACTCCCAAGAGCATGAGAACTAAATGAAGTTTCAGGTAAATATATTGTAGTTTAAAAGACAATTTGAGATTTAGGACCTGTCAATCTTGTTGCTATTTGATAACATCAGATGAATTGCTGAAACACTGCTGAATTTGCAAGAGCCCAAATTATTTCCTAATAAAATCTGAATGAAAATAACTACAATGAAGCAAAGTCCTACTGTTTCCCCCGAATTTAAATGATGTAATAAATTAACAAAATTTTGGACTAATCCTAAAAGGCAAAAAAAATAATAATCCCATTGTAATTTTTTTTATTTTTTTAAAAAAAGGCAAGAGTATGTTTTGGGAGAATAAAAACTTGCTTAATTTTGTACACTAAAAATAAATAGCTTGAAGAGCTCTGTGATTTACATGCATATGCACAGCCATGCACCACACATACATAGATCTGCACACTGCCTTGTACTCTTAGTTCTTATGATAGCCAATTAAATTTATCTCTGTTCAGTTTGAAAATGCTGGTAGTTGCATATGGTTATGCCTCTATGCATCTACAAGTCTTTAAGATGACAAAAACACATCAAAGAGAAGAATGGTTTTAAAGTTTTATTTTGCTGCAAGAAGAGCTTTTCCCCGTAATGTTGACTTAATTCCTACTTAAAGAATTTAAGTTGATGTACTGCAGATAAACACCTCTACTTCTAAAGACTGTATAGAAGTATGTGAAGGACAAGGAGTATACATGGAACATTATGTGACAACATTCTTCTGCAATGATGGCCAGAAGAGAAAGAGACCCAAACAAGTGGCTTTCAGTCACATCTGAAATGCAGGCACTTAACACAGATCCCAGGAACCATTCCAGTTGAAAGTTGATTGTAGTGTAAGTATAATGTTCAATGCAATGAATAACAATGTCCATAAAATGAGATATGGCATCCAGCCACTTTTATCATGAATGCTTTCTAGAATGAAATCTTGCATGTCAAAGTACCTTCTTGTCCATGCAAGGACAGAGGGATAATTTGGCTTTTTAAAAAATTCTCCTCCTTCCACAGGCATTGAATTTGCAAAAGGCTACCACCAGAAAGGCAAAGCTGAAAAGTCTCAGGCAATCTTGAATCCTCCTTTGATTAATAAACAAGGTTTCTGAGTTTAATGGCAGAAATCCGTGTAGTCTTAAAGGCTTCTACTGTGGTATCCAAAATCATCTTTTTGTTTTATGTTATCGATTGAGAAAATCATTATTAATTTCAGTTAAATTAGCCTTTCCAAGGGCGGAGGTTGCACCATGTTCCACATTTCAACTCGGGATCCCTCCTTCTCTTGGCGACTGGGGCTGTAAGTCCCTTGGGTGGCACGTTTATTGGCAGTTATGATGGAAATTATGACTACCAGAAGAAAGATCAGTAACAAGGCCAAGGTCACTGTGCCAATGGAGGTGAATATATTGAAGGATAGGTCATCTGTCAGCTGGAAGAATGGAAAGAAGGAACAATATGATGCCATTGAAGCAGAAAAACAATAAATACAATTTGATCACAGAAATAACTGGCTTACACACATGAGTACATTTCAGGATTCTTCTCCCCATAGGAAGAAAATCTAGCTGGTTATCTTTGTATATACAGCAAACTCTCAATATATTTGCTGAGGAATTAATTTAAGAATAACAACAACAATATAGAAGATCCAGATTAAAATTTGTCTAATTTCCTGACAATTATAGCTGTTGCTTGTTTTTTCTCATGTTATCTAATTTTTCATCATGTTGCAGCCATAGGGTTGACTCCCCATTTTCTTATACTTCAGAGCTACCATGGTAAAAAAGAAAAACAACAACAACTCATATCAATTGTATCTTCACTGCAGGATGAATGGGAGTTCAGAGCGCCAAGTTGCTTGCAAATCACTACAGAGATACAGGGCATTCACATTCATTCTTCAATGATCTTGTATCAAAGGTGCAAGAATTAGCCATCACAACTAAGTCAGTGAAATTTGCTTATTCTGGTGGCGGGGATAAAATTCCTCCCATCAAACTGAAAGCTGATTTAAAACTACAGAAAAAGAAATACATTTTGCTCAATACGAATTAAAATCTTTGGGAGAAGGTATATTGCAAGACTGCACATAAAAAAGAAAAACATTCTTGTGATAATCTAAAACTACAGACTGTTTGTATTATTAATTTTATTAAGGTGAAACTGCTCATTCATCAGAAAATATTTTTGAGCTTTGAATCTCGAAAGTGGTTTCAAATCTTGCTATGCTATTTCATTATTGAGGGGGATGAATGGGGAGGAGAAGAGTTCCTGGAAGGAATGAGTGGGGAATGCTGGGATATAAGGATAAGAGTATATAGGCCCAGCAGAGTTCCCAAGGTCTGAAGATTAATTCCAGCTGCCCTGCTAAAGAAAACAAGCACTTATATTTAACAGCGGCTATATTGGAAGATGCTGGAGACAAACAGTCACTTTAATGACAATTTACTGTATTGTAAAAATAGTAAACTACAGGTATTCCTCAATTTACAATAGTTCATTTAGTGACCATTCAAAGTTAAAACAGCACTGAAAAAAAAAACCAAGAGATGTCCAGAATAACAGAGCAACCACATGAATTATTGTTGATGCACACTGGGTAATTGAGAAAGCCAAAGAACACCAAAAAGAAGTCAGTATGTGCTTCATTGATTATAGAAAGGCATTTGATTATATTAATCATTTCAAGTCATGGAATGAGAATGAGAGGAAAATGAGAATCCCAGAGCATTCAGTTGTTTGAATGGGAAACCTTTGCACAGGACAAAGATCAGGTAAAATTTGTTGAAACCGACTGGCCTAGATTGACGAATGAGCAAGACCAGTCTGTATACTCTTTATTTGATTCAATCTAAATTCTGCACTTACATTTGGGGATGGGGACTGTATTGGAAGAGCATGATCGTGATACCAAAACTGGAGGAAAAGCACAGATAATATACAAATTAAAATATATGATATAGCAATAGCGCTTAGACCACTTTACAATGCTGTATAGCCCTTTCTAAGTGGTTTACAGAGTCAGTATACTGCCCTCAACAATTTGGGTCCTCATTTTACCCATGTCAGAAGGATGAAAGACTGAGTCAACCTTGAGCCTGGTGAGATTCGAACTGCCAAACTGCTGGTTCTACATATTAATTTCATTAAATTCTAGGACTATAAGTTCAATTAAGTCAGAATAGCTCTTCAACACCTTTGTTAGTTAGTTTAGTTTATTGTCATTGCACCTCGTACAATGAAATTAAATGCCATCTTCAGTGTACATTATAACTATAAAAATAAAACACAAACACACATCCTTCGCATTCTATACAATTGAATTGAAAACCCTTGATATTGCATTAATATTGCACTATCCTAGATAGAAGCTGTTTTTTCAGCCTATTTGTCCTTGTTTTTATTTTTCTGTACTGTCTGCCAGGTGGTAATAGTTAAAAAAAAAAGGAGTGCCCAGGATGAGATGGATCTTTAAGAATGTTTTGAATTTTTTTAAGGTAGCAGGAGCTATAAAGCTCTTCCAAAGAGGGGAGAAGGCAACCAACCATCCTCTGATCTATGATGTTAACTCTCTGGAGCGCTATCTTATCTGTCACTGTGTAACTGGCAAAACATACACAGGTGCAGTAAGTTAAAATATTCTCTATGGTGCAGTGGTAGAAGATCACCAGCAGTTTTTCATTCAGTTGTTTCCTGAGAAATCTCAGGTAGTATAATTTCTGCTGGGCCCTTTTGACCAATACTGCAATGTGAACGCCCCAGTGACAGTATTTAATTTTACTTTATGAACTGTACTGTGCTGACTGTGCTATTCTATAGTTTGTAAATTTTAAGAACAACCTGAAATCTTCAAAAACAATACTTAATTCGATTAATGAACTATTGAAATTGTGATCCTTGTAAATTTCCTGCTTAATCATTTCACTTGCATTACTTTTTTCTTCTTTCCTCTCATTGTCTATTTCTTTTCTCTCTATTTAAAAATAAAAAGGCTTAATAAAAGTTTTTTTTAAAAAAATCAACATCAACTTTATGGTCCTCAATCAAGCAGTCAATCAATCAGTCAACTAAAATTCAAAGGTTATGCCAAACAGAACTTTATAAATGCAGGAGTTTCTCTAGTTCATTTTATTAGTACAGCTAAGCCCACATACAGTTCTATTAATAATAAATGACACCCTGTTGTTTCTTAGTTTTATTTTTCTTTCTTCATAAAGGCAACAGCATGCAAGAATAATTAATTTATTATATGAATCTTTTTTTAAACTTAACACTGTCCTGAGGTGTTAAAATTAAACCTCTGCAAAGACATCCGCCATTGGTTATGAGCTTCAGCCTTTATAATGTCAAATATGGTAAACAATTAAAGTTTCCATAATGATATTGTGATTATGTTAGATATTGTATTTATGTTCAAGTTATTATTGTAGTTATTAAATAATGCTGATAATTTTTAAATTATCGCAATGTATATTTTACATATTTTTGTAAGCTTCTTAGAACAGCACGATTCAAGCAGCCTAGAAATTTTTATAATAAAAATAAATAAAATATAAACAATACTAAATATTAGAATGGAGAAAGTTGTATTATATTCAACAATACAATATTTTATACAGTGTCAGGAAATCTTCATGGCATCAGTATAGTAGAACCACTAGCATCAAATATTTTCCAGGTGACATTAATTAGTTGTTAAGGGACACTTGAATTTGAAGAGCTATGAAAGTTATTAAGATATTTTCCCTATCTATATCAAGAAGCACAAATGTAACTAGAAGTACCATGGGAAAACTGACATGCTGGACAGCATCACCCTGGGAGAATTTTGATTGTCAATTCCGATTTTGTTTTGGTGCTTTTGATTTGGAATACTAGTGACAATTGAATTGTCAAAAACAGATTATATGCTTGGGGCATAACTCCAAAAATATTTAAAAACAAAAGAACCCAGGAGGGTTTAAAAAAAAAAAAAGTAAACCAGACGAAAGCTTTCAAAAGCCACGTCCTGAAGATTAAGAAATCTTGTATCTCTGACATTGATTCTTAGAGTTTGTTTTGAGCAAAAATGTTTGGGCTCAGCATCTGTAGGAAAGACAGTAATCTAGTGTCCATTTCCTCAGAATCACAGTGTCACAAGACAAATACCAAATAAATCATTAATAGTGAATCCGTATAAAATCGGCTCCATGAATCTCTTTAAGGATCTAGTAATCTAATGATCTTAATTCTCTTTTGTCTGAATAATGGAATATATTGTATTGTATGGAAAAATTGCATTTTCCACACAATCTCACTTTTATTAGATAACGTTCTCATCACAGATGAGAAATAATAGGGTATTCTTCCACCGTAATTCCTTAAATGTTTTGGGAAAAGTGTTTAATTTCACTCTATTTCTGGAATTTATTTTCTTCCTTCCTTCTCTTTCCTTCCTTCTCTTTCCTTCCTTCATTCCTTCCTTCCTTCTTTTCCTTCTACATGTAGCTGGGCAATGGTGTATAGCAGTTTTTTCCCCCATTTTTTTTGTCCATCAGACACTTTAGGACTGTAAGTTACTGAATCCCTGGCTATATGATCTTAGCTGAGCAACTTTCTAAATTCATTTATGGGAGTCTTCCCCAGTCTGAAGTCCTCCATTCTTAGATATTAGGGATGTAAATTTGCCAACAACTTTAACATCAGTTCCCATTGGAAAGTCAAATGGGTCGCTGAACATCCAAACATAGGAATACATATAAATGACCCCACACAAAAAAAGTGCCAGGCTTTGAACTACCACATCAGCAATGGACAATCCTATATAGGTTTTGCATCTCACGTGACATCTCCCTGTATAATACTGGCCATAGTATTCTCTGCTGAGTGTGATTGCAGGGTCTCACATCAAACAGTAGATTAGAAATTTTGTTAGAATAGAGTGAGCTGGAAGGGACCTTGCAGGTCTTCTAGTCCAGCAGGAGAACCTATACCATTTTAACCTTCACCATTCTGTATGGAAATGTTGTGATATGGCCCCTGCAAACAACTCCCCCCCATGATAACTTGAACTCAAACCCCCACTAGGCCTTCAAGGTAAAAAAACAACAACTATGTCCAGGAAGGGCTTGCACTGTGACCAGCTGAGGTCTAGTATCTGATTTGTTTAATATAAACAATGCTTCAATGATTGGATGGCCTAGCCCTAGACATTGATATTTGAACATAGATCTTTTTGACATTTATACTTTATCGTGTTTTATTAATCTAAATGAAATGTAAATATGCTGGTCCATGAATGATATACCATGCCATACCATACCATACCATATCATACCATAAATAAATAACTAAATAAACAAGCGTTGAGAGTTACTCAAAAGGATAATTCAGCCAGCGTGTTGAGGTTCACCCTACAAGTGAGTTGGAGACCACGTTTTGAACCTCTAG